ATATATATATATATATATATATATATATATATATATATATATATATATATATATATATATATATATATATATATATATATATATATATATATATATCATGCAACTAAATAAATTGACAAATGAAACATAGAATAATGCAGATCCGAATAATTTACAATCCTAAATTATTCTAAAAGCCATATGCTTTACCGTCAAGTACAAGTGTATCTCAACTTTAACTTGCCATGTGATCCTGCTCATTGTGCTGCCTTTTAGGAAAGAATAATATATAACTAAAGCAAACTATGAGAGCAACGCCGTGATTTGGAACACAATTGTCAGCTTGTGACAATAAGCTGTAGAGAGCCTAGCTTGGAAGACAAAAGTTCAAAGTTCTATAGAATTATGAACCCCAGAAAGTTGGAACTTACACTAAATGAAAAATCAAAATCTTTATTTGACCAGCTTTCAACATCTGCTTCATACAAAAAAGTCAACTTCCCCGCTTGGCGACTTTTTTCCTGGTAGAAGAATGGGAATATACCATTAACTGATCTTATCATCTTCATTTGCTTTATATGTTTGCTAACATACTACACATTATCACCTTCAAAGGATGGCTTGTTGTCTGCAACATAACCTCCTTTTCAGTGCCAATATTCACATTCAAGTGAATCTTTTCTCTTTTTGAGAAAACTTTTCCAAATGGAGTGATGTATTCTGGAAAATTGAAAGGCACGGCAATAAAAAACTGGCCATCCTTATAAATTAACTTCTGAGACCATCTCACTTTAATAGAAATCTCTGATCCTCCATTGACCTAAAAAAGAGACAAAACAAAAGTTGACTACACATGAAGTTATCTATAACATTTAGAAATAGAGCATGTGATCAGTAAGGGACCAAGATGAATGACTAAATCACCTGGGGAATTGTTAAGAAAAACATCTGGGGCTTTAGGAGGCCACCACCTTCAATTTTAGCTGTGTTCTCCATGATATAGTCTTCTAGTTCAATCACCTGGGTATAGTATGATCTTCCACCAACCTCAACCTCAACACCTAGAATGGAACCCTGTTAGCCAAACCATGCTTAGCTTGAGAAGAAAGCAAAAGCTAACAAAATATTTGCAGGAAAATAAGCCAGTGATCAAAAGAAAGAATGAATTTCTCATTAATCTGTCGACAATTCATATAAAACAATTTGGTAGAGGAGTATACCTTTAACGGATCTATCATGTAAGAACTATGAGAAAGAACACTACCATCATTTAATCACTGAATGAGACTGCACACTACTTATGGTTATAAAAAACTATAAAGAAGAAATTTATTGATAATGGCAAAGATAAATTTAACATTACCTTAGCTGACTCAGCAGTTTCTATCTGTTTCAGCCAAATTTTGATTTCTGTCATCTACTTAAACCATATGATATTTTAAGTCATCTATCATGCAGACATAATTTCAGGATCAAACAATTCAAAGAAGACAAACATATAACAAAAACTATGAGAATTGGCAGCACTCTAAACTCTAAAGTACATTTCATTTATTAAAGTAACATCCAACAGCTTAAAAGTCAGCTCTGGTCTAGGTTAGGCACCTAACAAAGATTTGTCAAAAACCATTTTTGGGGGAATTCAAATGCCACTGCTCGTTCACATATTGAGCACTAGCTCAACTTATGCTTGTTTTTCTCAGGGCATACATCGCCATTCCCAGAACACAAGTAAAATTGTCAGCTTTCATGTTTTCTCACTGTCTCTCTGGTGTTATTATTACCCACACTCTCATGCATTGATAATTTTTCAAGCTCAATTCTCGCCAGCCCATCAATCTAGCTGATAATGCAATAATAGCACCTAATACAACATACCAGGGATTATGAACGTCATGCCTGCCCACGAGGCGACTTTTGGAGCTTCAAATCTTTAATCATACAGCAGATGAAGATATTTTCATCAACCAAACTGTTACTAGTTTATGTAGTCCAAAAGCATTCACAGAACTTAGTGGGGATTAGAGTTCTGGTAGGCAATTGTTTACCTTAGCAATGACAAGTCATCATTCACAAACTAGATACCTTTTTCCTAACATAAATTCCAAGAAAGGGAAATCAAATTTTCACTTAGGAAACAGATTTGACGGAATCATAGAGTAGAAAACGGAATCGCCATCGGAATCGAGGCAAAAGGAACCAGATTTTCTCACCTGCTCGCCCATGGGAACCACCAGCCGGCAGTCGCAGCTCTTGTTCCGCATCACGCAGTGGACCCGCCACCGGCCGCTGACGGCGACGAAGGCCGCGTCCAGGAGGCACTCCACCTCCAGCCCGACATCCCCCATCTGGAGCGGGATCAGCGCCGGCGGGTCGCACGCCCCGTACACATGCGGCTGGTAGCTAGGGATGTCCGGGTTGTCGACGATCGCCGGGTCGGAGATCACCGCGTACACCATCGGCGCTGTCGGCAGGAACGGCTCCGACGACCGCTCCATCCCCGTGGCCGGCCGCGGTGGCGCCGCGAACTGCCGTTCCTTCCCGGCGTAGACCCGCTTCGCCAGCTTCAGCCCGTCCTCGACGGCCGTGGCGAACACCTCATCCACCGCCATGACCGCTCGATGTCGATCCGACGGTCCAGATCCCACGAGGAGGCCACACCGAAGCCTCCGACGGAGTCGAAGGCCGAGATTAATAGCATCCAACGAGGAGAGAACCGATCGGACGAAAGGAATGGGAATCGCTTTCGAAGCAGCACACCGTTAGCATTCATTAAAATTGTACCAATTTGCATATGTATCCCTTATGATTTCTGTATTTACTCCTTCCCATTTCAATTCAACATTTATATCCTTAAAGCACTCAATAACTTACAAATTAATATATACAAATCATCTGAGTCGAATAGATCAAATGCTAACATATGAATGAATAAGTATACATAATTTCAAAATATTAAATGTATATAATATGATATAATAAAATTTGACGGAAAACATTTTGCTATTTCAAATATTTGTAAGGATTAGATATGTAAAATTCTCTCAACGTTATTAGATGGCGCAATGAATCTTTGGTGTCCGATCAATGACCGCTGAGGTGTGAACGGACGTCGAACTGTGCCGTTACCCTACGGATGGAGGGATTCGACCAATGAGCTGTCTGGGTCTGTGGAGCCCTCAAACCGTAGGACGCATTAAATAATGCCTCCTCCGGGAAACTTCTCTACCCTTTTCTGTACCTTCTACCTTTCCCAATCAGAGAGCGGCGAGTCTATAGAGGATAACGGGACCCGCGCAATAAACGTGCTCAAACGTCAGGCAAGTGGGAGCAGGTACGTGCTGAGGTCACTGCAAAAAAGAGAAAAGCACGTGGCGTATCAGAACAATGAAGGCCACGTGTTCTGCTGCGAACGGGAGAATAGGGGCTCGGATTAGAATGACTGATTTGCCCTTGTCGGCAGAGGTGATAGCGTGAAACGACGAGGGTAGATTTGTCATTGGGAGTGATAGAACCGTTGGTAAGGCCAGCAGAAGTTAAACGTTTGCTGGCTTTTGCCTATTCCAAAATTGTGACCGTTACCTACCGGCGAAAGGTGTGGCATCGAGGAGTTCACATGAAGGCGGCGCGCCCCCATTTACCCCTTCCGGAAATGGGGAATTTATTAGTCACGTCTATCCTCTAAAGATTAAAATCATTTACGTACATTTATTTTCTATTAACATTCTTTCATAATAAATATTGTATTCATTAACTAATTTGAGTTGTATTCACTATTTCTACATATATTTATTTATACTACAAACTCATCGAGAACAATCATGTTAACAACTTCTAATGATGTTCAATATTAGTGTATTTTGAGTTTTAAGTACATTTATAAAAATATTAAGTACCGACTGTATTTGTAATGTGTTTAGCATTATAATTTATTAAAATGTCTCAGCAAAATTAGAGTTTAAACTAATAATTATGTGGCTAATGAAGATTAACCATGATATCATATGCAAATGATTTTAGGATATATATATATACACACACACACAAATATATATATCATTATATATGTATGTATATATCTGTATATATGTATATACATACATATGTACATATAGCTTTCAGCTTAGAAAGATATAGCTCATTGTATAACCATGAGCTTGGAGAGAGGTGGAGTATTCTCCTTCCAAGTCCATGTCATTCCCTTCCACAGTTTTCTTTAACTTTCTGTACAACCCTTCAACACAGAAGCAGGAAGGAGAAGAAAATGGTCAAACAAAGCTGTGGAAGGGAGGACAATTCAGGACTTCTTTTAATGAGGAAACACAATTCACCACTGATAAGCATTTTTCAGGAGCAATCATGTTCCATGGGTATGAATACTAGGTGAATTTTTTGCAACTTTCTCCTTGAAAGAGATCTGGTATTGACTTTAGTTTTCTGCATTTTGATTTCCTTGATGATGCTTCAGAATGGCCAGAGAAAAATCAGCAAGGCTGAAGTCCTTCATTGTTATCAGATTTTAATTTGAAGTAAGCAAATCTACACTGGTAAGTCTGATATTTTCATAGAAGCTTGACCTAAGAACATAACAGCATGACAAGTCTATATTCATCCATTACATTTTAACCTATGATCAAGAGGAACTTTGTTTGTCACTGAGAAATCTTAGAGTTAAATAGTTATTTTTTTATAGGGTTTTCTATTCTGTTGATTGAAATATAAGATTATATGATGTTCCAGAAAGCTTGTGCCAGTGCTATTGAACATAATGATCATTCAATTCAGATACACTAGGTCCAAAACTTGTACCTCTTGCTGAAACATAATGAACATAATGGAACATAATGTTCCAGAAAGCTTGTACCTCTTGCTGAAAGGCTGAGATTTGTGGATTTGAGCAAATCCCATGCCCTCTCAGTTCATATTTAATCAAAGCAGAGGCAGAAACACTGCAGCTTCTGATATATCCATTCATCTCTTCTTGGTTAGTCTACATAAGCATGGAAGATAAAACAAGTATATAGATAGAATTCTCCTACACTACTAGTTATGTTGTTTCCTATCCACACTTTGTATATACCATGTGAGATAACCTTCTTCTTGGGGCAGAAGAGATTGTTGTTCCCTGTGGTCAGTTGAGTAAAAACAACAATATAGGATTCTTTGATCAGGACATAACTGGTCTATACTAAGTTTAGATTGTTTAATCATGTTCATGTTCAGCTTCTGTGCCAGTTGAGTGGTGGTATGCTCATCTGGCCCAGGCTACAACAGATGATAAACTGCATCTACTGCAAATATTATCTGCATATTTGTGTAGTAGGTATTTCCACTTCCAATAAAATGGAAAGCATAGGAAATGACCACATTGCAGATAGCCTAAGCTTTCTTTTTAAAGACTAGTTATATTCCCTTTCTATGTCAATAGGATTGTTCTCTTCAGTTTATGATCTCTTTCTATGCCTAGCTTCCTTTATCTTTGATACCGACAGAGCAACAGAAATTACACAAGTCCTCATTCCTATCGTCAAGTTCAAAAGTTAAATTTCTTTTAAATGCAATATGTCCTTTGACATGCATTATCATTTCCTTTATCTGATGAAGGCATATTTCAAATAAGAATCTTGCCATCAAGAATCAAAGTCTTTATCAACTAAACTAAAAAAATATGGTGTTAGGACAAGAATTTAAATCCTTATTCCATACACCATTACTACGCTAAAGAGAATACCACAGTGCAGAAACAGTATATTTTTATGAAACTTATTCAGTCAACTATCCATTCTTTGAAGAAAAGAAATATGATTATGTAAACATAAGCTAGCAAGTGAATTTGTAGCAAATGCAAAGGGAAAAGGGGGAAGAAAATCACCTAATCGAAGTATCGGATGACATTATAGACAAAGACCTCTAACGACCAGTTTGAATCTAGAACTCCAATTTGAGCCATTGTTTGTAATACACACAGGTGTTTGGTGATATAACACCCTCAGGTGTGCACTCGCTTATCCGTGGACACATTCCACAAGGAATCGATGATAAGTGACCAACACTGGGACCTTGTCTACCTCTCGAGCGCCTATAGCAAATCTTTCCAGATTGAACCATAGAGAATTCAGCTACTCCAGTGCTCTTTAATTCCTCGATCTCCTTGTCCAAAGCCAATGCCCGAACGATCTCCAGTACCTGCTGCATGGTACATTCCACCTTCATTATTCGTGAGGCCGCAATGCACTTATGGATATCTTCAATAGTTGCAATCCTAAGGTCTTCAATATGCTTCAAGCACATCATCCTCAAAATATTAATGAACTCCGTATCAAGGCTTCCATCTGAGTACCATGAACCCCCAGATACTTCCTTCGATGGTTCAAACTCTACAGCCATGAAGGTTTTTCTTGACTTATTGTGAACATTAACAACATCTTTTATGAGGTTCTTGCTCTGGAGAGATTTGAGAGCCTTGGTAACAATAATATTCTGGATGCCGGCTTCTCTTTTTATGTCAGCTATCCAAATCCCCATGTTCTTTCTGCTTTTGATCAGTTCGTAGACAATCCGCTCGCTTTCAGGTAGAGCAGGAGGTTGAGTTTGTGAGTCAGGTTGTCGCCTCTTTTGCGGTGTCATCGGAGGGCGACTCATTGTGACTGTCACAAGTTTAAAAAACAGAACAAAACACAATAAGCAGAAGAAATAATTGCTGTCAAAGACTAAAAACGGCAAGGTGAGACGGGCGGGGGGGGGCGGCTCTACTGGAGAGAAGCAGAGAGCGGGGGCAGAGGAAGCTAGCGGCGGGCTGATAACAGCAGAGTCCCAGGGGGAGGAAGGGAGGGAGGAGGGACGGACGGCTGCTGGAAGCGAGGAAGAGAGAAAGCGACAGCGAGAGGGAAGGAATAGGAAGGGGCACCGCCGGGGGGGAAGGGAGAGGAAGAAGTACCGTTCACGAGAGAAGAGACACCGCCGTAGTGGGGAGGGTTTGGGGTTTGTTTTTTGTTTAGGGTTGGGGGTTTGTTTTTTGTTAAGGGTTGGGGTTTAGTTAGTTCAGGCCCGAACCCGGTCCAGTCTGACCGATTGAACCGGCCACGGTTGGGCTCAGGCGCGCCTGGACCGCGACCAAATGAATCGCTGGTCCGAAGGACGTGTGATTTAGAGGAAGAGGAAAGGAGGAGGTCATATATGCATTTTATAAAATGGTGGGATTGTGGGATTAGGCAAATTTAATGTTTGTTGTGATGGCCATATAATATGTTGGACAAAACAATAGTGAATACCAAAAATTTTGGTCCCTTTGATCATTGACAATAATTGAAAATGGTTTGTATGTGAGTTTAGGTATACATAAACACATATCAACCTATAAGTACAAGTAAATAATTATTATTAATTATGCAATATTAAATATAAAAAAGATAAAGATTTATTAGAAATTATTAGAAACGAATGAATTACTATCGAGTTGATTTGCAATATCCCTTACAATGGAGATAAATGACAAAAAATCTGCCAAATAGTTGGGAGATTGCATCTAGCAATTTGTTGTTTACCTGTGTGCATTTCATGCTTTCGATTCTTTTTCTTAATGCTGTCTAATTCATACACAATGATCGTTTCTTGCACTATAAAATCTTCATAGATAAATGGAGACAACTTTTTGCTTTTTCAAATTTGATACAAATAAAAAGCTCTTGAGGTTAGCACTTGGAGCCACATCTTCTCCTCTCCCAAACAACATATTTAATCTTGCATTTCATTGTTATCACAGGCTACAAGTTGATATCAGACACACCCTTGAGAAACTGTTCAATCAAGAGGTTAACCTGATCAGGTTTTTCCAGTTGCAATGCATGGCCAGCATCTTTGAGTACCTCCAACCTTGATTTCTTTCCCAGATGTCTGTTTTATGAGAAAAAGAATGCTCAAGTGGCTGCCATCATACATAACTATATCAAAGAAAAATGAAAAAAACAATCGAATGCAAGACCAATCTCAGCAAGTTTGGCACCAACCCAACAAATTAACAGATCTTCTGTGGTTGAATACTTAAGTCGGACACAGATGATGATAAGTGCAACTGTTGAATCATAAGACCTTTTTTTGTGAAGAAAGAACATAACCGATGCTTGTATAGAAGAGTAGCTAAGTGGATTCAACAGTGATTTAAAAAGCGTTAGGCGTAAAAAGGCGCCAAGGTCCAAAAACGCCCGAGACACTAGGCGCTCGCCCGAGCGAAACGAGACGCTAAAATATAAAAATATATAATATAATTAATAAATATAATTATTTAAAATTTTAAATAAAAATATGCTATTAAATTAAGAAAATCTAAGATATAAAATCACAACGTCACATTAAAAAAAGTTTCAAAATTCAAAACAATACAATTTTACATCAAAGTCATTTATGTTGAAACCTAATAATAATTTCAAATAAATAAAAATTAACAACATTAAAATCAAAATAATATATTATTAATCTATTAACAGTATTAAAAATTAATCATTTCAAAATTCAAATAAACTTAATATTAAGAGTATACTGTATACTGAGCCTGACGGAGAAACGAGGAAGCAGCGACGAGCGACGGCGGCAGCGGGAAAGGGAAAGGGAGCGGGAGGCGCGAGCAACGGGAGGCGCGAACAGCGGGAGGGCTCACGGGAGGTGCGAGCAGTGGGAGGGCTCGCGGGAGTCGCGAGCAACGGGAGGGCTCGCGGGAGGCGCGAGCAGCGACAGCGGTAGCGGGAGCAGGAGCGACGAGCAGCGAGATCGGGATCGGGAGCGGCAGCGGGTTAGGGTTAGGTAAGGGTTAGAGTTGGGTAAGGGTTATATCGGTTTAGTTGGTTCGATTGAACCAACTAACAACCGAACCAGACCTAAAATCCTGGTTCGGTCACTTGGTTTACTCAGGCGCTCACCCGAAGTGCCCAGTGCCTGGGCTCGAGCGAGCGCCCAGGCGGCGCCTGTTTGAAGCGCGCTACCTGGGACATTAGCGAGGCGCTCGAGCCTTACCTCGCCTCGCCCGAGCGCCTAAGTGAGCGCCCGAGCGCCTTTTTCAATCATTGGGCTTCAAAACTAATTTTGTGCAAAGACTTAACCCTATCCCATCACTATGGATCTAATATGCGAAAATAATATATTGAAACGATTTGAAATATAAAACAGATGTATATTCACTAAAACAATATAAATAGGCTTTCAAAAATCCACTCTAATCACTAATAATATCTCCAAACACTTATGTAAATAGTTAAGGAAAAACTCAATCGATTAAGAGACACGTGTTACTAATATTCGTCAGCCAGAAGACGTAGACATATTTCACAACATAAATATTGACAAAGAAACAATCATGCAAAGATTTTAATATGTCTATTATCATACTAATTGCTTGAGGAACATATACTTGCAAGCATAAGTTCATTGTGCCCTGAGTGATGAAATAGCCATTGATACAAGAATATTGTATGACTTGTTATTGGAATGAAAGAGAACCTAAAGTACAGTTTCTCTTCTTTTTTCACCTTCCTTTGAGTAAAAAAAAATAGTGACATCTCATTTGCAATTAGGTAATTTCAGGTTTAATAATGATATCAACAGCTAAAAATTTTGTAGCAAGGTTGGTGATATTTTAATCGAGCTTTTATGGTTATAAAAATCAATGTACTTTGCATTTGTATGAGTTTAAAAGAAATCTTGCCTATACTAATTTATGTATAAAGGAAATACATAACAGTACTGAGAACAGTGAGTACCTGTGTAATTGATGAGCAAGTGGGAGAGGGAAAATATCATCTTTGTCACCCCATAGTATAAGTGTGTCCTAGTAAGAAAATAAAATCACCATCATAATACATCTCAAAACTAAAAATGAAGGTACTTTTTTTAACAGTGTATTCAAAAGCTGATTTGATGTATTAACTTGGTAAAATCAGTATTATTGATCAGTAGCCAAATCTGAATGCTCACGATACTAAGAAGTGACAGCAGTTCCCCTAATTGTAGAGAGTTTGGCATATAGTTCCCTTAGTTTCTGTTAAATGTTTTGATTCGCAAAATTGATCCAAGAGCAAGGGATAATATTCGTTAAATGCAAACATGATCTTGCTAAATTTGTTAGATGATCATGAAACCTGAGAGCATTTCTTGCTAACAAAGTGTTTTTGAATCCACAATAAAGCATCAATGCATAATCTAATGTCTATTTTGGTGTTAAACTTTGGCTGCTTCAGTATCTTATTTACCTGATTAAGAACAGGAATTGGGTCCAGGTCAATTCCCTTTTCTAAAAGTTTTTTCAGCAGTTCCGACCTCTCCATCCGTTGATTCCTATACATCACCTGCAGCACATACAGAAGATGAATTAGACCTCCATAAGAACATGAACCACTGATTTATTGAGGATCAGAATTGACATGATTAAGCTTAAGCCGGTAGACAAACACTCACCATCTCATGTGTAGAATAATAGATTGACTCGAACCCAACACATAATTCATTTTTCTACAGTAATGCTCTTAGAAACTGAACTGACATGGACAAGGAAAGCACGAGGATGAGCTTAACTTCCTTTACCTTACTAACCTCACTAAAGCCATTACTAAAGCTGTTTCTTGGTCACCTAACAAAACTTGAATGCCGATAGCAACGTGCTTTTGTTTAATCTAATTTTTCCGAGAGCAACAATAACAGTACAAGCCACAACGTACAAATTATATAATACATGATGCTGAGAGTAGTTTGCATTCCTTAATGCTGATTGCTACGTGTGCTGGCCGCCACAACCATATCTAAGGATGAGTGAATCTGATTGAAATGGGATCTCGATCCAACGACTAAGATCGACCATACACCCATCAAACATTTATGCTTGTGGTCGTATTAGGCTCACCAGCATGGGTGCTGGGGAGATGTCGCATGCACCCATTATTGTATTGTCTATGATGATAAGTTCTCACGTCAAATAGACAGATCCATTGAAATTAATAAGCAGAAGGAAGATAGTCATAAAACAATCTTGACTTTGCCAACTTCGTCAAGTCACCTTAATCATCCACGCATAAGAGTCCATCATAAGTGTCAATAACAAAGTCAAACAACTTAACTAGTTTTCCGAGACTATATTTCCTGCGGAATGAACAATGCTGCAAGCAAAACCAAACCGAGGAAGAACTTCAACAGACAAACAATGTGACAGACGTGCCGGTCACTGATAACGTGGAAAACCTTCTTTGTGATCCATGTGGCCGGTGGCCTGCCTACTTTGATCCTAAATGCACCGGAAGAGTAATCCAGAAATCTGAACTTGTTCTACCCCTGTTGACGTCATTGCACCGCGTCAACTAAATAACAGGGGAGTAGAACGGGGTACACATCATGAGGGAAACACCCGTACCTGTTGCCTGCAATGGGGACGGAGCACAACGAAGATTGCCGCGCTTTTCCAATGGATCGTGATGGAATTTGATACTGTGAAATATCTTCAACTTATAACGTGTGGAGTCGAAATACTACGGAAATCTGTGTCATGACCAATCTTCTGCGTAACAACCATCCCTACCAAGACCATGGAGACGCCCGAAGAACACGTGCAACATACTCGACTCGTGATTGTTCTTCGCGTTAATCGTTCCGCCAAGGATTCTCGACCCTCTGATCCCTAACGAATTCCTAACAACGACGCTTCATTCGCCTCATACTACTATCGGTAAAGATAATCCCGTACCATACTTTTCCTACTGTACCGGCCCATACCGGCCTCGTGATTGGGTTCTTATGTAGGGGGACCCACTGCGACAAGTCCACGATCCTACGGCTTGCGTGTACTTCTACAACGGTCGTATAGCCTTGTGATTTGATGTCTCCTCGTGACACAAGTAGTGGGCCCACCACGACACAATACATGCATGTGAGACGAGGGTAAAGGGCGTTTATTTTGTGGGAGTAGAGATAACGATAAAAGAAGCAGTGGTAAGGTTACCGACCTCGATGAAATCTTGGAGCAAGAAGGCGGGGATCCACTTGGGGTGGCGGTACTTGGATCGGCGGAGGAGGTTCATCAGGTCCTCCGCGTTCTGGGGCAGGAGGAGCTCGCAGACGTCCCTCTCCTCCTTCGCCGCAAAATCCCTCAGCTGCTCCGGCGTCAAGCAGATCCCGGCGGTGAGGATCGCCACCCGCTCCACGGCCCCCGCCGCCGGTCCCTCCGCCATCCGGAAAGCCACGAACCCGCCGTAGCTGATCCCCACCACGGAGTACCGGGCGACGCCGAGCCGCTGCATTGCCTCGGCGATGCACGACGCCTGGTAGCCCAAGGACCGGTCGCGGCTAGCGGATCGGGAGTTGCCGAAGAAGACCAAGTCGGGAATGTAGAGGTCGAAGGATCGGGAGAGGGGCCCGATCTGGCCTTCCCACTGCCACCTGGAGTTGCCGCCGAAGCCGTGAACGAGGACGAGGGCCGGCTTTCTGGGGCGGCCACGGGCTGGGGCGGGAACCCAGAGATGGACGCAGGAGTGGCCGAGGTCGAGGGTGACGGGGCGTAGGCCACGGAAGAGGAAGGCGAGGTGGAGGACGGAATCCCACAGGGCGACCAAGGAGAGGAGGCGCCAGGGGGCCGACCGGTAGAGGACTGAGAGAATGGCGAGGGCGAGGAGGCGTAGCCGGTGGCGAAGCGATCTCCGTGACTCCATTTAGATCCCTGGGCTTAGGGTTAGGGTTTGGGGCCGGCCAGTGACAGAAGGGAGGAGGGGCTGGAGGCCGTCGTGCCAGTTTTGCGGAGATCAGATACAAGTGTACATATATAGAGAGAGAGGGAGAGAGAGAAGGGTGTTTATGATGAACCGCGGGGCAGCCTAAGCGGAACGCTCATTTCCGTTCGATACTCTTACATTAAATGGACTCTGACTTTTAGACAAGGTTTGATAAAGAAAAAAGAAAGGGGGGGTATTTGGTATTATAATTTATTATAATAAATAAGTAAAAGCTATTTAATCCAAAGAAAAATAAAAGAACTATGATTTTAGCTCTATTTGTAACAACATCAAGTGGAATACAAGGGAGAAATATAGCATATTATAACTAAGAGAAAGAAAGAAACATGAAATGAACTTAAAAAGTCAACAAAATGGTGAGCTTTGACATTTCTCTGTCATTGGATGATGAACGTTAAAATCATGAAAACAGTTGACTACTTAGCACGGTAACAAAAAGCGATTAGTGATCATATATGATCGATTAGATCTAAGATCGATCCTTGATTGGAGTTGCAAAGATGGCGATGATGTAGAGCATCAATTGAGTCCTCCGAGGAAACCTTTGACCGTTCATCGATGAGAAAGGATCATCATCCCAACTCGATACCCTCAAGTTGACTAAATCAACATCCGAAGGTGAAAGTGAAGGGGAATGAAGGGAGGAGAACTCGTTGTATATATGTATATATATAAAAGGTCAAATAATATATAATAGAAAAACTAATTCAAATATCATACATGAATCTTAAGATAACACACAGATGAAAAATATTTTCTTGTGATAAAATATAAAAAATAATAAAATATCCTAAATTCATATACTTATATAATTCTCGCACATCGTATCTATGAAAATAATTTTCTTAATATACGGATCATAAAAATATTACTATCTGATGACGATACATTTGAATTTTGTTTAATATGTATTGCTTGATGTATCCTAATTTAAGAACTAATAAGGATGTGAGATTACATTATAATAATAACATAAGACTCTCTTTTGAATATGATCATATACATGTTGATTGTGAATAAGATTCAAGACCTCAAAAATTGTAATTCCTAATGCTTTATCCTCATGTGGGTTGCATTTATGGAGCCTATAATATATGAATTACAATGAATATTCTGTACAAGAAAGTTCAACATAGTCTTTGTATTTCAAGATTAAGCAAATTAATTGGTTAGATTGATTTAAAAATAATAGAACTGATAAAAAAGAATAAATCTTCATTTTAAAAACAAAAAAGTAAAATAAAAAAGAAAAGGAATATTTAATAAGATGCAATTGACCATACAATTAATTGCCAAAAGATAATGCAGCACAATATTAAGACAATTAATGGCTTCCCATTGCCAACTGACATGATAAAACTGGAACACACATTCAACTCATCAACCACAAGAACAGATGTGCACTGCACTTATCTCATCCCTCAAGAATAACAACAGGCGCAATAACACCACAAAAGGAAAGAGAAAACATGCAAGAGCAAAGCTTAGAGCAAAAGCACCCCGACAAAAGCCATTTTTTGAACTTTCTAAATCCTATCACTAAAGAAAACTTAACACATACATAGACATCAAATCGCTTCAATGTGCCGTAAGCAAAACACCTAATAGTAGAGCACCTTTTGAGTTGATTTGTTTGTTGTGTTAAGGAAGCGAAAACCGAAACACTCATCAATAACACCAAAAGAGAAAACATGCAAGAGGAAAGCTTAGAGCAAAAGCAACAAAAGCCATTTTTAATATCGAATCTCTTGGATGTGCCATAAGGCAAAACACCTAATAGAATAGCATCTTTTGAGTCGATTTGTTTTCCATCCTATTATATTAGGCAAAACACCTAATATAAACCTCGGTGTAAAAGTATCTAGAACTATATCAAGAGCTTAGACAGAACTAGAAAATGTTTTGTTAGGATATGGGATGCAGGTGTAAGCATAAAAATTATGATTATATTATTATATAAATATTTTAATATTAAAAATTAAAATCAAATATTGATAGAATAAATTTATAATATGTACATTTCGATTTCGTTCAGAAATTCTTTATCTGGTTCATAAACACATCGTCATAAGATCCAAAAGCTATAGTAATATCAACCTATAAGAAGAATTAGACTCAAGTTTTTTCATTTCTTCTCATTCTTCGTACAACCACTTTGAGCAATAGATTAATGACTAAGAGAAATGAGAGAATATTTATAATCTTTCAGTAACCATTATGTGACTTGGGGAGATAATTGAAATATCTATAACCTTTTAATAATATCATATATTATGTTGAGTCCGATATCCTATCTATTTATAAGTGAGATAAGTAATTAGGAGAATTCCTCCCATCGAGATTATCTTCTAAGGAATACTATTTTAATTGGACTTCATTTTTATTAGAATAAAAATTCAATCGTATCCATAATATATTTTACATAATTAAATAGGGTCATAGAATTTAACATTCTCCTATTTGGCATATTAATTAGTAAGATACAAACAGTCTAAAATCAAAATAACTAAAATAAAATTTATTTAAAAATAAATTTATCCAAGTAAATTATGAAAATTTGAAAATTATTTATAAACATATGAATTTAAAAAATAAGTGAATAAGTCCAATAAATATAATAATACTAGATTAAATTTGACTAGCATAGCAATTGTATACTATCAATATTATAATTCCTTATACTACATCACTATTAATCTTTTCTAATATAATCTAAAATGACCCCTATAATTTATCTTATCAAAATATTTATAATACATATCTCATTTAGAAAGTCTTTGTTTGATTTACAATTATACCGTTATCATATCTAAAAGTTATAGTAATATTAATCTATAAGAAGAACTAGACTCATTTTCTCTTTTCTTCTAATTCTTCACGAGATCACTTTTAAATGATGGATTAAGAACTAAGAAAGATGAGAGAATATTTATAATATTTCAGTAATATCACGTGACTAAGAGAGATGAGAGAATATCTATAATTTCTCAATAACATTATATACCGTGTTTAGTTCCAAGAGGTTTTATCTATTTATCAACGAGAGTATAAAGTCTAGAATAAATAATTAAAAAAATATATAAAGAACATTTCCTAAATAATTATATTTTAATTAAATTTTTTTTATTAATTAATAATCATAATCATATAATTTAACAATTGACTTTACTTGAAACTGACTCTTAGTTGGACCATGCTCTATCCAATAAATCCTAAAACATCCCAATTGGTAAAAGAAGTATATTTTAACTACGTTACTATAAAAAAATATATAATACCAAATAGGTTCCTTTTTTTAATCAAACCACGTCCAAGTCGATATGCATTTAACTTAACAGTATGGATCACATATTATGGTTATTTTAAATTGTATCGGTCGTTATCTCAATATATCGCCTTAAGTCGCTTACGCTGCCCCGCGGTTCATCATAAACACCCTCCTACGTGTATATATCACGACTCGCTAAAACTTGGCATGACCGCCACCCCTCTCGCCGGTCTCCCGCCCCTCCGCCCATTTCGTATTTGGCTGGCCCCAAACCCTAGCCCAAACCAAGCCCCGGGGATCTCAATGGAGTCGTCGAGATCCCTCCTCCACCTGCTACGCCTTTTCGGTCGCGCCCTCCTTTCACTCCTCCGTCACCTCGCTACCCCCTGGCGACTGCTCTCCTTAGTCACCTTGCACGAGTTCTTCCTCCACCTCACCTTCCTCTTCTGTGGCCTTCGCCCCGTCACGCTTCACCTCGACGAAGCCTGCGTCCATCTCTGGGCGCCCGCCCCCACCCGCCGCCGCCGCCTCAACAGGCACGCCCTCGTCCTCGTTCACGGCTTCGGCGGCAACTCCAAGTGGCAGTGGAACCATCAAATCGGGGCCCTCTCCCGCTCCTTCGACCTCTACATCCCCGACTTGGTCTTCTTCGGGAGCTCCCGATCCGCCGGTTCCGACCGGTCCGTGGGCTTCCAGGCGTCGTGCATCGCCGAGGCAATGCGGAGTCTCGGCGTCGCCCGGTACTCCGTGGTGGGGATCAGCTACGGTGGTTTTGTGGCGTTCCGGATGGCGGAGGGGCCGGCGGCAGGGGCCGTGCAGCGGGTGGCGATCCTCGCGTCCGGGGTCTGCGCGACGCCTTTGCAGCTGAGGGATCTTACGACGAAGGAGGGGAGGGACGTGTGCGAGCTCCTCTTGCCCCAAAAGGCGGAAGACCTGATGACGCTCATCCGCCGATCCATGTACCGCCACCCCCAGTGGATCCCCGCCTTCTGGCTCCAAGATTTCATCGAGGTCGGTAACCTTACCACAGCTTCTTTTATCATTATCGGGCTCCACAAAACAATCTCGGTTTACCCTGGTCTCACATGCATGTCTTGTGTTGTGATGGACCCACTATGTGTGCCACGTGGAACGTCTAATCACAGGGTATGTTCTTGAGCGTATACAGTAGTACAAGCGAGTGTCTTGGTGTTGTCGCTATGGGTCTCCATACGAGATCCCCAATGACGAGGCGGGTAACGGCGAGGACGGTAGAAAAGGCACTTCATTGGATAATTTTTACCCCTAGTAAGGCGAATCAACCGCAATCGGGTATTCCTTCGGGATCATCGGGTGGATAATCTTTAGCCGGACGATTAACGCGAAGAACACATTACGAATTGAGTTGATTGTACGTGTTCTTCAGGCATCGCCTTCATCACATTGGATAGTTGTTAGGAGGAGATTGGTCGGGGCACAAATTTACTTTGTGCTTTTTCTTGCTTTACGATCTCTTTTTCATCTTGTTTTGGATGGGATCAAGATACATGATTATTTATGATCTTTTATTGCCTAAGCTCTTCTCGTTTTTTATACAGATTTAGCGTATCAGACTCCATCCCGATTTATATTTATCGGAAGAGCCAGGCCACAGTGAGACCTGCTCCGTCCCCACTGCTGCCTCCAATCACGAGGTACGGGGATTGTCCTCGTGATATTGATCGAGCGGATGATGGTGTGTGTCCAAGGGCAATCCCATTCCGAATCAACCTTGAAAAGTCATCCGGTGTGATGGCACTTTTCATAGTGGTCCACGCGTGTGGATCTGATGCTATACGTATACTTTAAAGTTTAAAGTATATATCAGGTGACCGAATGGACATGTTTTGATCTGTGTAATAATACACAAATCGATCAATCCGGATGTCTGAACAGAGATCACTGTTTGTTTCGTTGATATGGTGGTATGGGCAAATAGGGTAGGAGAAGTTGGGTTTAGATTTCTGGGTTAATTCTTCAGGTGCATTTAGGATGAGGGCAGGCAGGTGACATGGATCACAAAGAAGTTTATACACGTTGTCAGTGCCCGGCACGTCTGTCTTATTGCATGTCCCGCCGGCAGACATCCCTTACCCCCTCCTGGGCCTTGCATACAAGGAATCTTTTAAGACTTCACTGAAGCTCCTCGGTTTGGCTTTGCTTGCGGCATGGGATCTTAGTAGATTTCAAGTAGCTTGCTTGCCAAAGCATTGTTCGTTCTTCCATGGCTTTGTTCTCTGCTTATAACTTTTCTTTTCTCCGTGTGTTAGATATTTCAGAGAGTGCCTAGAAAATTGATAATCTCGGGAGGAAATATAGTCTCGAAAAACTAGTTAAGTTGTTTGACTTTGTGATTGACAGTTATGATGGACTCATGCATGTGTACTTAAGGTGACTTGACGAAGTTGGCAAAGTCAAGATAGTTTTCTCATTACCTTACTTAATATGCATTTATGCGTATTAAATGTTTGGGGGGTCCATGGTCGGTCTTAGGCGTCGAGTAGTAATCAGCACTCAAGGAAAATTAGAATAAAGAAAGCAAACTCCTATTAACATTAGCATTATTGTTGGGGCATTGCAGCTTCTTGTTTTTATTGTTGCTGTTGTAATTGGTATCAGCATTCAATGTTCGTTGTTGACAAGGCAACAGTGTATTTAGTGGCTTTAGTGAGGTTAGCAAAGTAAACCAAGTCAAGTATATTGTTGTAATTGTAATATATCTCAAGTTCAAATTTGATGTAAGTTCATCCTTCTACTTTCATTGTCCCTATCAGCTCAGTTTCTGAGTGCTCACTGTAGAGAAATGAATGCTCACTGTCCCTATCAGTTTGGGTTCTCAGTGCATCACTGTAGAAAAAGGAATTGTGTTGGGTTGGGTCTATCTACTAGTCTTTACGTGCGAGGGTGAATGTTTGTCTAGGCTTATGCTTAATCATGTTAATTTTGATCCTCGGTGGCTCATGTTCTTATGGATAGGATTCATCATTTCGAGTATCGAATTCATCTCAGAGATTTATCGGTATGGTATGTATTAGTCTATATCAGTATATCGCCATACAGTATGCCACGGCGTGCCGACAAGGACTCGGACAAGCTGCATTTCGATGACGAGTCGGATCAGTATATACCGCTTGTACATTATCAACTCGAGCAGTACAGTAAACCTGGCTTGTAGAGGCCTAATCGATCTTTTGTATGTGCTGCAGGTGATATATGAGAAACAAAGGAAAGAGAGGACAGAACTGCTGAAAAGACTTCTTGAAAAGGGGATTGACTTGGACCCAATTCCTGTTCTTGATCAGGTAAATAAGCTAATGAAGCTGCCAAAGTTTAACACCAATGTAGACATTAGATTATTGTGAATTCAAAAACATTTTTTTGGCAGGAAATGATGCTCTCAGGTTTCATGATCGTATAACAAATTTAGCAAGATCATGTTTGTATTTAATGAATTTAATTTATGTCTTGCTCTTGGATCAATTTAGACATTACGCATAAATTAGGGGAACTAAATGCCAAACTCTCTGCAGTTAGGGGAACTGCGTTGCTGAACCTGTATGTCACTTCTTAGTATTATGAGCATTCAGATTTGGCTACTGATCAATAATACTGAATTTAACAACTTCATACATCGAATCAACTTTTGATTTGAAATTTGAGAGGAGAAATATGACGGATGTACTGACTAAAATATGTATGCATCATTGGTCATACTCGAAAAGAAAAAGATAAGGAGAAATATCTAGGTCATGTATCAAACACCAATGAAGGTGGAAAAAGGTGGCTAAAACTGCTACAACCCTACTGTAGCTCTAAAACAATTGGCACCTAACACCATCAGCATAGTTTATGAATTACCTTCATTTTTAGCTTGGAGATGTATGATCATGGTGATTTTGTTTTCTTACTAGGACACTCTTATACTATGGGGTGACAAAGATGATATTTTTCCGCTCTCATTTGCTCATCAATTACACAGGTACTCACTGTTCTCAGTACTGTTATCTATTTCTTTTATGCATAAATTAGGATAGCAGGATTTCTTTCAAACTCATACAAACACATAGTACATTGATTTTGGTAAATATCACCAATCATTCTCGATAAAGATTTTAGCTGTTGATATCATCATTAAACCTGAATTACCTAATTGCAACTGAGATTGCACCGTTTTTTATTTCTCAAAAGAAGTGGTTCTTTTTCATTCCAATAACAAGTCATACAATATTCTTGTATCAATGGCTTTGACATCACATAGAAAAATATGAACTTATGCTTGTTGGTATTTGTTCCTCAAGCAATTATTACAATAGTAAACATATCAAATTCTTTGCATGATTGTCTCATTTCCGATGTTGTTAAATATGTCTACCTCTTCTGGCTGATCAACTTTAGTAACATTTCTGTTTCTTAATTGATTGATTTTTTTTTTCCTTTTAACTATTAACATAGTGGTTTGCAGATGTTAAATGAGTATACTAGATTTTCCAAAGCCTGCTTATAATGCTTAGTGAATATACATCTATTTTATATTTTAAATTATTCCAACATATTTTTTAATCGACGTCAATGCCTATTATATCCATAGTGATGGGCTAGAGCAAAGCTTGAATAAGACTTTGCACAAAAATATTTTTGAAGCCACTTAGCTACTACTCTTCTTACTAATACTTCATGAACAAGTATTGCTTATGTTCTGTCTCCACAAAAAAGTTCTATGATTTGGGAATTGCACTTATCATCATCTGTGTCCATCTCAAGTCTTTAACCATGGGAGATCTGTTAATTAATTGGGTTTCTGACAAACTTGCTGAGATAGGTCTAGCATCCATATATATATTTATTTACATTTGATTTGATATAATTATGTATTATGGCAGCCACATAAGTATTCTTTTTCTCACAAAACAGACATCTGGGAGAGAAGTCAAGGTTGGAGGTACTTACAGATGCTGGTCATGCATTGCAATTGGAAAAACCTGATGAGGTTAACTACCTGATTGAACAGTTTATTAAGGGTGTGGCTGGTATCAACTTATCTTAGCCTATGATAACAATGAAACGTAAGATTATGTATGGTGCTCGGGAAGGGAGAAGGTGTGCACCCTCAAGAACTTCGAATGTCAAAAGGACAAAAAAAAGAAGCTTGTCTCCAGTTGTTTGTGTTAAGATTTCATAATACAATAAATAATCATTGTGTATGAGATGGGCAGCATTAAGAACAAGAATCAAAAGCATGAAATGCAACATGTATATAACAATATCTAGCTGTAATCTCCCAATAATTAGGGTCAGGCTATATTTTGATTTTTTTTATTGTCATTTAACTCCATTGGAAGTGATATTGTAAATCAATTTGATAGTAATTCTACCTTTTCTTATGTCTGTTTCCATTTGATCTCACATAATTAATAATAATTATTTACTTATATTTATGGGTCAATATATCTTATCACTAATATATAGTATACCTAAACTCATATACCAACCGTATTTCAATTGTATACCTATTCGGCAAATAAGACTCCCAGTAACTTTACATAAATTGCTTCCCGATTTCAGCTTCCGAAAAAATCGTAAGTGTTCGTCTAGTTAATTTTGAAGAAATATATATATAGAAAAAAATCACTTTATATAGTATTATCATTGGTTTAATTAATTAATTAATTATATATATATATATATATATATATATATATATATATATATATATATATATATATATATATATTGTGTGTGTGTGTATAATGTTAATCATAATTAGTAGCCCTTCAATCCAAGGAATCATCTCCGCTGCTCCTCGGCCATCAGCTTCGCCTTTGTCCGAGGAAAACGTCCATCTTCCGGCCACCGTCGAGGCTCCTCTCCTCTAGGGTTAGTAGCTCCCGGCTGCTTCCGTGTGCGCTTTCGCAACTTATTGAAGTTTAAATGCTGTCTTTTTTCTCTCTATTTCTCTTTGGGATATTGGGATTGGGTGGAATATTAGTTGCACACCAGTTATCTGTTGAATTGACTATGTGATGTTTAGTCCATTTTTTTTTCTTACTTTGTTTATGTTAATATTTCGTTCTGAGTTTAGTGCCATTGAAGTAACAGTGGCGACTTGTGGACAATTTTGGATTAATAGATATGATTCTTAATATGTCTCTGGTGTAACTCTCGTTTGAAAATTTGTTAATATTCAAATTTATCTCATTCTATCATTTCTTTATTTGTCTCTCAATTCACATTTGGAGATGAATGGAATTTTAGTGAGGGTTGTTGAATGAATTGTTCTGTTCAAACTTGTTTATGTCAAAGCTAAAACCTCTTCATTGTACTGTATTTAATTTGAGAAATCAGTACTAAACCATGACTTTATCTTAGATTATGATTAGGATCTAAAAATGTTGCCCAAGGTTTTCAAATGAGTTTTATGTTGTTTTATCGCAATTCAGTGTACAAGATGGTTTTTCAATTATCTTTTGTTTTTTGTAAGAGATGTCGATACTTTTTAAAAGTTGCAAATTTGCAAATTTATGATGACCATGTACTCTAATCAATTCTGAGATATAAGCTTCAAGTTGATACAAGGATTACTGCATACTTATGCTTACCTTGTAATATGGTCGTAATATAACGTTGAATGTTCTATATTTAAAGTAGCCAAACTCCATTAACACATCATTCAATGGATAAAAATCAGACCCTTAATTATATTATTAAATAACAAGTTTATGTGTTATTCCTATAGCAACTCAACATTTATAAATACTAAATGCACTTATGATATGTCTCTTCTTTATTTCTAGCAACTGAACATCTACACAGTAAAACTATGAGACTTCTGTGATTAATCTTTACTCCTGTTTTTGTGTTTTTTGTGTATGCTTTATAAAATATAAAGTGTCTATTGTCAAAGTAGATTGTGTCTGAATTGTGTTGGACTTCAAATTAGACCCTTAATTAGGTAAACCTTCTCAATGCCAGTCTAATCCAAATTCTGAACGGCCCAACCCCAATGTCTGGCTTTTTGCAGCCTGTTCCTTCAGGGCTTTTCAGCAGAGTTTGAAATAGCATATTTATCATTATAAATTCTAATGTAGCATCTATGTGTCACTCCAAAGGTTAAGAACCCGTGTTATGTCATTGATGTTAATATCCATCGAAAAACTTAGGTTAGCTATTATTAACCAATTAACTTAGTTGTTTGAGTTAAACAAGTATGTAAACACCCAACATTCATCCAGAAAGTTTAGTTGAATCACTTTTAATCATCATTAATATTAATGCATTCGAGTTAAATATCTAAAGTACTCCTAGTACTTTAAAAATGACAATGAGCTTTTGATGGATTTTAGTATAAATTAGAGTTTTAAGTAATGGTGAACTTATAGTTAATTTATAAGTTTTAGAATTAGGAGAGATTTATGCTATGCTTAAAATCATTGAGTTTTAAAGGAATATATGTAATTTTGCCTTCAATTATGAAGCTCAAATCAAGCAAAGGAATAAAGAGAGGTTGGTCCCTGAGCCAACTTTTGATAAAAATTTCGAATCCCAGGGAAGATGGATTAGATTCCCCAGAGGATTTCCTCGGGAACCCAAGTCAACCAGTTTCAATCCAATACATCATCCAGCTTAGATTTGTACGGACGTTAGCTTTTGTTGCTGCAGTGAAATCTAGCAGCAGCTCTTTCCATAGCCTATGTAGGATGGCTTTGCTCCAAGACACAGATGCATCAGAGTAGCAGCACGTTTCCCAAGTCAAGTCATTGTTTATTGTTTCTATGCATGTATCTTTCTCTTATCTGGTCTGCCCTGATCTGACTCACCTCCTGCACCTCGACAAACAATCTTGTCCCAATGGTTCCATGCTACAAAGCAGATATTTCACCTTAGAATATATTGGCAGTGTTCATGTATTCAGACGTGTACATGTATCTACTAAGAATTGATCTACTCACAAACATAGCTACAATAAAATTAATTGTCATAAACAATTTCCAAGATTAGTTGCAATATTTCTCTAAAGTATTTAAAGTCCTTCATTCTCTTTTGATTGTAATATTTCTTACTGCTTCTTACTCTACTGTAATGATTAATTTTGTCTATCTAGTTGTTGCATTCATACAATATCTTTAGGCATACCCTTTTCGTCTCATTTTATTCCTGTATGTAAATGTTATTTTCATTAAAAAGGTGTTGATATGGAAGATATATTTATTTGATAGAGAATCCGACATAAAAAACTTGACTCGGATTGGAATACAGAAGCCAAAAAGATAGGAGAAAAAAGAGTACATAGCGAAAATATATTAAGCTTCTGGAAGATCGATCGACCGATCTCTCTATTCAGGATTAGAATCAGGTGTGGTCAGTACTTATTAATAATTTGATCTTGATTGGCTAAATCAACATGAGAATTGCATGTTATTTAGAACGTGAGTTCCCCGATGTCTGTTTGCTGCGGTGAGACATCACAGTTCTGTGGAAGTTTATGTCAGACATATGTGTAGATCTTGTGAACATATGCCTCTGTTTGGACTCTTGTTTACTTGTTAGTGGATGTAGACATATACGTGATCTTTTGGACTGAGAGTGGAGAGGTGTCAAGCACTTCGCTTTGAGAAAAAGTAGACAGGACCTGTCAACTCAAAGAAAAAGTCCAGGTTTTCGTATACCAACCGAGGCCAGTGTTATCCTTTGGACATATGGGTGTTCATAGTATCACCAACAGAAATGGACAAGCAACATGGCAGAATTGGGCGGGCGGGGGAGGGAGTACGAGAGATATAACTGGTTCCCAATGGTCTTGGTGTCTCGTTACTCCCACAGCGTGACATGAACCGACAACAAAGCTCCTCCTCTGGGGGGGATGAAACCAAGGGGGAACACCTCCTGTTGACTTCACAACCTTCTTGGACGAAACCATTGTAATTGTTATATATATATATATGAGCCATTATAACCATTTCAGAGGATTTCTATATAGATTCGGTTTGGAGGGTGAGATCGATTCGACTCAGATCATACAAGACTGGTTAATGTTTTTGCCCATTTTACATTTTGTTCATGAAAAAAGCTGCTACTGTAGGATGGATGTCATGCGACAATGATTGATTGATATATCCATTTTAATGATCTCTTGATGTACTCTCAAATAGGTCGTTTTATATAAAACTGATGGCTTAAATTGTTGTTAAGAATAATAAAAAGCATGATCAGAGGAATGGACAAGTTCAATATCAGGAGGTGAAGAATGGTTTCTTTCGTGTGTTTTTTGGAGCTGTTTCACGCCTGCTCTTCTTGTCGGCAACAGTATCGAGACTCATTTAATGTTGGTGTGGTTGAGTCGGCATATGAAATAGCTAGCATCTAACTTTCTGGATTTCGCTGCATGGTACTGCACTTACCCGAACACATCAAAATGATGCTACAAAGGCAGAGTTTATGGGAAGGTGATATACTTTAGATACATTCTGGTTGAGTCGAGTTCAGTCCTTATTTATTCGTTCGATTTTGGAGGAGGTGATGGGTAAAATACATATGGCCTGATGGTCAAACTTGATGCATCATAGCGCAGTCAGGTACTCGTAGAAGTAACAACTGTGTGCCCGGAAACCTAGATCAGATGCTACAGTACATGTGAATGGTTCGATGTTGGTACGTACTCGATGCTATAGGATCGAACTTGTCGATGCTTTCAATAAGAGGTACGTGCCATCTTGTTCTTGGAGATAGGCGTGCTCGCCCTTCAAGAGGCAGGTTTATAATTCTTGAATACGTGGGTTGGCAGTCGATGCAGAGAGAGAGAGAGAGAGATGTATCTGGTTCCCTCCTGAGGGGCGTATCTACGATGGGAATCATGGAACGAGACCCAAGGACAAGAAAAGCATAGCGCAGGGACGTAGACGTAGAGGAACAGTGAGGAAAGAGAGAGACAGTAGCCTTCCCTCTCTAGCTGATGTTTTGTATTTTATTGCTATTCTGTCGACACATAAATAAATACTCCAGGCAGAAGGCCAAGCCCATGACGCTGCTGGTTTTAACCTTCCCACCACCTCGTTCTTGGGTTTCCGACGGGAAGGAGGCAAGGCTAAGGGCGTTGGAGTCTGAGCAGCCGATGAGAGTGTGTGATCTCCGTAGTTCTCGTCATCGTTTCTTTTCTCGGTGTCTGTGATGGAGATGAGGAGCTGGCTTGGCTTCTCTTTGTCCTCCAGCAGGGGCGAGAGCTCCTGCTGCCGTGAAGAGGATGAGTTTGGAGGTGTGGGAGAGGGTGGTGGTGGTGATAGAGATGAAGTGGGGTTTCTGCCATCTGATGCCTCCGTCTGCCTCATGGAACCACCTTTGAGGGCTTCTACTTGTGCTTCAGGTATCCCTTCTCCTGTGGGGTTTCATTTGTCATCACCAACCCCGGTTTTCTAATGTCGGTGCCTTTTTTGTACCATCAAGATATTTTTTTTTTTCATTCTTTCTTTATTTTCTTGTGATTGTTTTTGTGTTGAAGTGAGTCCTGTTTGTTCTCAGAGATAATACAGATAGCATGCTCATATTTTTCTATTTTACTCAGCTTAAACTCTTTAGGGAAAACTTTATGGGTTTATGTCGTCAGATAGGTTTTAGATTACTTTTCTTGGCTTCTCGGTTTCTTGTATTGTTGCTGATATGATTTCTGGTTCTGTATATATGGTTATGTGGATTTTTTCCTCTTTCTGAAGCTGCAACTTTTCCATGATATATAAGCATTTCTTTAACGGTAGCTAAGCAATCGGTACTGCAATCTTCTTTTTAATCTATCGAACTACATAGATTAATATGTTTTTGTATGTCAATATAAATGGTGATCTAAGTTGTTATCAACCTCTTGAGTCCTAGTTTGGTGTTTTTTCCTTAAAGAGTGTAGTTTTCTCCAATTTCCAGCTTTCTTGTCATCCTACCACTTCAAACTACCCTCTGATATTTCTGTTCCTTTGGTTTTTGATCGAAGATATGTTGAAAGCTAAGAAATGTACATGCTAACTTTTCCACCACCTCTTATGCTTAATATTTTTTGTCTTTAGAAAATGCTCCTCTTTTTCATTTGGAAGAGGGATCTTTAGAAATGTTATTGTTGGACCTGTGTCATGGATTTCAAATACTATTCTTCCGGTTCCCAATCTTTAGCATTTCTTCTTGTATTATCGAGCATGTATCCTTCTCTCTAGCCTTTTAGATGAACAAATGTCCCTTCAGAAATTTATGATGCATAATTGATGCATGCATGTAGACTGGAGACACAGTGCAATTGCCACCACCACCAGCTGCTCCAATCCTGAAGAGCAAGGTCCAAAGTTTGAGGATTTCTTGGGTGGCTACTCTGAGAACCTCAATGAAGAGAATCAAAACCTGCAGCAACCTATTTACCACTTCCATGACATGTACTACCACAGCTCTGATGGCCCTGGAATTAATGTCAACATGCCCCCCTCCTTCAGTCCTGCGGAGGGAGGAACAGGGGAAGATATCCAAGTCCCATACCACCATATACATTCCTTCCACCACAATCACTTATTTCAGGATCCCAATGCCATCAAGCCTCCATTCTTCATGACTGATCCTAACCAAAACTTTACCGCAAGTGCTATCTACAATTTAGGAATGGATGGTTCAACCTCTATTTCCGGCATGAAATCATGGCTCCGACAAAACCAGCATATTCCGGAGAAGCAATCGGTCGACGCATATGAGTGTAACATCCAATCGTTGAGCCTCTCAATGGGTCCTGTTTCACAATCTGTGCCTCTCAAAATTGTTCCGATGGCTTCTCCACTTGAGGCTGCTGATGATCCCAAGTGCTTAAATGCTGAATCAGTAGATAGAGAACCAGTTCCTCGCAAGTCGATCGAGACCTTTGGGCAAAGAACCTCACAGTACAGGGGAGTGACAAGGTGGGTCTCCCAGAAAACGTGATTTGTATTCTTCCACCCTTACGACCAGTTGCATGCATTGCTAGTATGTCTTTCGTTATGGATGCTGTAGGCATAGATGGACTGGAAGATATGAAGCCCACCTCTGGGATAACAGCTGTAGGAAGGAAGGACAGAAAAGAAAAGGAAGGCAAGGTAGAGTACTCTAGTTTTCTGTAAAATCATCCAGTTAGAAAAGGTTTATTTTTGCTATTTTCTTTGGGAACTCACTGACATTTCCTTTGTTGATATCCTCTTGATCGATTGATCCTCCTTCAACCTAGCAGTATATTTAGGTAAGGGAAGATAGTATAAATGATTTTAGTGTTTGGTTGAGTTATTTATCATGCACTGTATTGATTGAAGTTTCTGATGCTGCTGATGTTAAGGGGGTTATGATAAGGAAGAGAAGGCTGCAAGAGCATATGATTTGGCTGCGCTTAAATACTGGGGACCAACAACTCATACAAATTTTCCAGTTAGAGAAATCTTTGGTTTCTTGCTGTCTACTTTATTACATCCTAGATATCACTTGCTCCATTGTTTTACCTTCCTTGTTTCCCTTGTCACACTATTTCTCACAGCTGAGCAGCTACCAGAAGGATCTGGAAGAGATGAAGGACATGACTAGACAAGAATTTGTAGCCAATTTACGAAGGTTTAATGACATCCTGTTAAATTATGGACTAGACTACAATGTACAATTTTTATTGCTTTGACTTAGACGAATTCACTCATCGACTTCTGATCATGTTTTTCCTTTGTTTTTTTCAGAAAGAGCAGTGGGTTTTCAAGAGGGGCATCTGTTTACAGAGGGGTGACAAGGTCTTGCAAAACCCAATTTTAGCTTTTATCATCACTGTAGTCCTGTGCTATCGTAAATCCCAAGATTTCTCTCTCCATTTCATTTGCTTTTTTGTTTTTCTTTTGGATCTAGGCACCACCAGCATGGTAGATGGCAAGCTAGAATTGGCAGAGTGGCTGGAAACAAGGACTTGTACCTTGGGACATTCAGTAAGTTCCTCTACAAGCATGCAATTCCCACAAATCGTCCGAAGTCTTAGTTATGTTCTCTGTGTTACCATCTGTCTATACCTTACTGGCACCCTGAGTTTTGTCATGGCACATAAGCGGCACTTCTAACATGGTTGTTACTCGTGAATCCTGATAGTAGTTACCTGCAGGCACACAAGAGGAAGCTGCAGAAGCCTACGATATTGCAGCGATCAAGTTCCGGGGCCTGAATGCAGTGACAAACTTTGACATGAGCAAGTACGATGTGAAACACATTTGCTCAAGCTCCCATCTCTTCGGAGGTGATCTTGGGAAAAGATCACCAAAGTCTACACCCACAACTTCGGCGTCAGCTAACATGAACCAACCAACTTCTCTCGTCGTTGCAAACTCCGAAGATTTTTCCAACATGCTATCTAATACCAAGTCTGATAGTACTTCAAACAGAGTACCTGCCGATGCTGTATCTTTGATTTCATCTTCAATAACCAATCCAAACCTTTGGATGGAAAGGCAGGGAGCCGAAGGAACCATAATTCCTACCACAGCATGCATGGGGACGTTTCTCAGGCATTCTTTTGCCCTTCTGCAGTGAGGTGAGTGTGGGGATAGCAGCAGTGGAGCATGAACTGGATGGTGCATGGCAGCAGCTCAGATGAGAGATATACGGGCAGTGAATGAGCTTCCAAATCTTTTTACCAGTTGAATGATTTGAAGAAAAGCTTAAATATGCTTCCAATTATGTATCGTCAACTTTCAGAGATTGATGGCAGCAATTTTGCAGTTGTAGCTCAGCTGTGTATGTCTACTTGTATGACTCTTTTGTTGGCATTTGATTGCTGAAGCTGCTAATAATACATGCTCTTAAGAGAAATTATCGGTTGCAATCTATTAGGTACCTTTTCGACGGTAACAGCAATCATAACATCTTGTATTGTTTCATTCTTCTGCGAGTCCTCGGCTTGTTTGCATACTGGTGTAGTAGCAAAACCCTGTGCCACACCATCAAGTTCTCCAGTCCCGAAGCTTGCCAGAGAAGCACGCTGTAGATATAGAAAGTACATTTGACGACACCTATTATCCGACATGTGAACATGCATGCAATGTCTACCATCTCTCTCTTCGATGTATTGACTTGTTTCTCGTAAAATCCACACACGTTTTCTGGGTGTTGACTTTTGTATTTACATGGAAAAGCTGCAGATTCTGAGGGTAATACGGGATGCAGTCCACTTATTCTCATCGTAGACTGCCTGTGATTGTGTGGAGACCATGAAACTTACACTGTGCTTACAGATTAATTGGACATTTATATAAATAAAACTAGGTAACACTACAGTCACATCGACCATCCCAATCAAATGTTTCCTCGTATAACATGGCTGAAGCATGAAAGGGTCTCCGGGTAATTGTAGACATGGCTGCACGTATATTGCGAGAACTCCGTGCCACTCGTTTACAGCCGTTCTGACTCGTTCCGAGACATTCTTGTATAAACTATATTGATTTTATTGCAGAAGGAAACGTGTTTTATTGCATGCATACAGTTCAGCATCTAATTAAGATCACAAGTCTTTCCATCGATTCATCTCCATCATTCGTTGGGGTTACCAGCATCATCATCCACCTAATCAAAAACATCATGCATAAAAAGCATTAACGCCACGGATCTGAGAAAACCGCTCCATCCGCCACCCCGGTTGGCCCGTCTCTCTCCAGCCGGCTGAGGTCGCACCAAGGAGCACAGTGGGTGCAGGTCGAAGCCGCAGGTGCGGCACTGGTAGACCATCCCGCCCACGTGAACCCTGCACACGCGACACAGGCGGGCGGTACCCGGTCTAGCGTGCAAGGTGAGGAGATGCTGCGGGTGCATGTGGAAGGAGATGGTCGAGGGGCACCTGGCGCAGTGCTCGTGCAGCTCGAAGTTGCAGCGGTCACACCGGTAGCGGAGGCCGTCGCCCGTGATCCTGCAAACACTGCAGACGAAGGATGCTTCATGGTACTGGTAGACCAAGGGATGATCAGGGTGCAGCAAATGAGTTACATGGCGTGGACTCTCCTCCATGGCTCTCTCTCTCTCTCTCTCTCTCTCTCTCTCAGCTTTCTTTGAGCTTCTCTCTTCTCAAGAACTAGCTTACTTGTATAGACATTTGGAGGAGAGGATACTCTCATATCATTAATGATTGAAAGAGTGAGATTAAATGTATTAGTTTTGACCCATATTTTAATAATTTAAAATTTTAAGTTAATTTAATTTCTGACTACAAATTATGTACCAAAAAACATTTATATTTCTATATTTAAAAAATATATATATATAATGTCTCATTTACACTCATCTTGATCTTCCTTTCTTGATAGTCATTTGTATAGGTCTTTGTGAAAAGTATATGTAGTCATATCTAAATCTTTTCTTGAATTAATGCCGACATGCAACAAACACAAACCACATGATCTTTCGTTCGCTTAAAGATATTTTGGAGAATCACGATGTCATCCCGATCTATGTGACGAACAAAATAACTACGAGCGCAGAAACGTGGTGAGCATCTGTCTCCGTATTGCTCGGGCCAAAATATTCTTTTAGTCCACTCGAGAAAGACCCATTCAAACACCATAATTTTTTTATATGAAATATTAGTTTGATGATGAAATAATCAGAGTAAGGGTTTAAGATAGCAGTCTGATTTGATATGATACGTCCGATTCACTTGTCTTTAAAATTGAGCATCTCATCCTCAGTTAAGTGTGTTCATATTTATAATTTCTTATAATATCTTTTTAGGCTTACCTTTATTTCTTTCTCCGTATATTAATTATCTCACTTCTTCTATTTGTATCGAAACTATATCTAATTGTTCACTAATTAAAATATTTTTTCTAGCAAACTCATGTATTATTCATCTCAATATTCTCATCTTCAAGATATAAAATTCTAATATATATTAATCATGAGCTCGTCTGCATTGACGACCGAGTCAAGTCGTCATGCGAACTCGTAGAATGTTTCTAACCTACCCAAATCTAATGCAGTGCATGGCAAATTAGTGGGCCATCAGCTCTGTCGTCGTCATACGCCATCGTCTCCTCCGTCTCGATCCTGATTTGGTCGTGCTCTGGGCCATGGCTATTGACCACCGAGTCTTCGTCCCTGCCGACGCCGTAGGCGTATCATCTTCCTAACCTATCAAGATCCGACATAGTACATGACAAACTAGTGGACCATCGGATCAACGGTCGTCAGACGCTATCGTCGCTTCCATCTCCATCCTGATTCGGACGGAAGTTTTGAGTTTTCTTCGATTTGCAGGTCTCGAGCTCACCCCATGGCGATCGACATGACAATATCTATTGTTATACAACTTTAAACCGTGGCCTCGGGATTGATATGATTTGGTCCAGTCCCAAAAATACAAGATCATCCGAAACGGATGAGAAAGCGAGGTTGGGTTGGTGAGATAACTCCGAGATGGGTTGAGTTACACTCGATCTACATCGGGATCCTGTACGATAGGTTGGTATACGGGAATTTTCGACTCAACTCCTCTGATGCTTAAGTTAGTAAGTGAAAAATATGTAAAAAGATCGCCCCTCCTCACCGAGACGGGAGGCTAGTATTTATACCTACTTCTCGGGCTAAGGGTACGACAGTTGATGATGATAGTCGGTACCTCTCGCGGCGCAATCACTTGGGCGATCGGCTCGTACGTCCTTTGTGGTGCAGGTCGATTTGTTCGGATTCCTATGGTGCGATACCGACTCATACGGTCCCGGGCAATGCGAAACCAATCGGAAGGGCTTTGCCTACCAGGTTGGCTTGCTTCCGTGTCAAATAGATTATCGAGTTGTGTTCCACATCGATTGCCAGCTGAAGATTTGGGGTTAATGCTGGAACATTTGGTATCTTATATATAATAATTTAATTAAACTTATTATTTGACGTAAGATGAATCACAGTATATCGGAGTGACACAGATGACTAATCCGTTCATAATGTAAAGGATTTAAGTAAAAGAGAAAAAAATATTGATTATCAACCCACACATACTAACTCTGTAAAGAAAAAAAAAATCGATTGACATACATTAGAATTAATTGATAATTTAGTAGGTCCAATCATGAATTTGAGAAGAACAAATATAAGTGAGCTTGAATCTTAAATCGCCCTTCCATAGCACGATCCGTTTGAAACCATGGGTCGTATCCTTAGAATCACCAACCCAATCTAAATGATATGAACAATTATAAAAAGTTACTTTTTAACAACTGTTTATACTCCTTTTTAACAAGGTAATTTATTATTAATTTTTGTGCAAAATTTAAGGCCAATTCAAACAAAGCATTTCTTTATTCTCTTCTTTATTTTGTGAAAAATTGATGGAACAAGAAAAAAAAATACTAAGACTTTTGCATCATTGATTTTGCCATATGTCTGCAATAGTGGAGAGAGTATGGCTTATCTTTAATAACTATTTTGTTAAAAAGAAATTTTATGTGTGAGATGAAGATCACAAGAGGAGTAAGGTATAATCTTAAGATATAAAAAAAGTCAAATAATAAGCTTAGGTCTTTGGATTGAATTAATGTCTGATTTGATATATATTAACTTTAACCCAAGAATATGAGCATAGTATCAAAACCAATGTTTGTAAAGATAATTGAGCTACTAGTAAAAACTAAAAAGAAAAGTTAGATTTTGGCTACAACCAATTGAGAAAGAAGATAGGTCTAATCACAGTTTGATGGAGTCAGAAGGAGCCGATTGAGTCAGTATAAGAACAGGAAAAAGATGACTAATTGTAAGGGTATTTTTAATAAATTAAAAATAAAATAAAATAGACGGTTGTAATTGGGACCAATTAAAAGCATAAATTCTAAAACCGAAACTAAAATTGGATGGAATTCAAATTCGATGGACTTGAAATCTTCCATTTCGAAATCAAAATCAAAATCATCGATTTAAGAATTAAAAATATCAATTCTAAAATTAGAGTCAACTTATAACGACTCGAGCGTAAAAGTTAAAACTGTATCAAGGTTCTCGTGGACGAAGCAATGAGGGTGACAAAAATGGGCCAAACTCCTCTACTATTTCTCTCTCTCCATCTCTTTCTCAAGTTAGAAATTACTTACGTGATTAGTTATTTGAAGAATATGTAGATATCCTTATCTAAGAAGAAAAAGACATTAATAATTTATTATTTCGCAAGTAGTATGCTGTGGAAGAAATACATGGCAGAGTGCATGAGTAAAATTTATATCTTTAGAAGGTATAGGGGACTTTGGACTCGGTTTGTGTTAATTCATGTAAATCTTTTATCTTTTTCATAGATATAAAGTTTATGATTTATTTTATTTTTTATAGGATCATTATTTATATGAAATTCTGTTTTTGTTTTCCCAATAATACATGGCAGCATAGCTTCCTCAAATATGTGCAAATATACTTATGAAATAACACTTGTGGGACGAATACCACAACATCCATATCATTCTCCGCAAACTTGACGATCGCAAATCAAGACTTGAGTTGCAACTCCAAACAAATGGCTACTGATTGAAACCCAAACGACAAGTAAAACACACATTTAGATAGATAGATAGATAGATAGATAGGCAGACAGACAGACAGACAGACAGATAGATAGATAGATAGATAGATAGATCGACAGACAGACGCAGATTTAGGTCATAGTAAAGCTACCAACGTCGCCCTTGAACGCAGAGGGGGTGCACGACGAAGCCGCAGGGACCGCACTGATAGACCAAGGTGCTGGTCGCCTGGCAGCACACGCTGCACTGGCGGCCGTAGCAGCCAGACTGGGTCAGCGTCAGGGAGTGCGAGTGCATGGAGCAGCTGAGGCTCTGCGGACACTTGGCGCAGTACTCGTGGAGGTCGAAGTCGCAGCTGTTGCACCGGTAGCTAACCCCGTAGCCGGCGACGCCGCACCCGTTGCAGATGAAGCTTTGCTGGCAAGTGCGGGTCAAGATGCAGCTTGGGTGGGTGAAATGGCGTATCCTCGTCATTCTCTCTCTCTCTCTCTCTCTCTCTCTCTCTCTCTCGCTCTCTGCGTAATGCTTTGGCTGTGATATAGGCGACTTAGAGTGAGGTTTAGCTGCGAGGAGGGTGGATGCATATATAGAGAGAAGAAGGTGAGAAGGACGGAAACTTCTCCCAAGTCTCCTGCCTACTATTTCCTGCTTCCTCCTAACGCCAATCAATCTCGTCAAATTCCTATAATGTATTATTATTACCCACCTACGTATTTGTTTTGTTACACTAAACAAAGACGTTGAACGAGTGCATCACCTGCACGAGAACACAACTAAAGAACCATATTCGTAGTACCCACATACATATTTGTTACACTAAACAAAGACCTTGAACGAGTCCATCACGAGAGCACAGCTAAACAACCATCTCATCTCAACATATGACTAGCTATTTTTAAAGCTACACTAAACAACGACCTTATCCGAGTCCATCGCTACAACACAAAGAAGTAGCTCATCTCAATTGCTTGTTCTTGTGGGAGAAGACGTGAACGAAAAGGAAGCTTGTATTGTGTTTATTAACCATAGTCGGCAAGGACGATCTACTGGGATGGATAAAAAAGACTAAAAGTCAATGATCGACTATCATTTTTTCGTTACTTAAGAAAAAAATTAATGAATAATTTAATAGGATTAACCTCAAATCGTAAAAGAACATTTTGATGGGAACAAATTTGACCGGATCTCGATGAGTCCAATGTAATCTTGATCGAAATCTAGTGAGATTGAGAAAAATCTGAAAATAGATGGAGTTGATAGGAGTCCTGCATGTCTTAATATCACCGAAATCAAACGAAAGAGTGGAAAGAAATGGGGAAACTTCCAAGCATTAAACCCATCAGTCCAATCAACCTTCTTTTTCTTTCTCTTTCGAATTGCTTCTAAAAGAACCTCTTTTTCACTGAAAGAAACATAGCTAATAAATGAGTAACAACAAATGCCTCGCATCGTCTCCCTGTCGCCTTCTAAAGCTACTTATGTTGTTTAGATTCCTTCTTGTATCACTTTCTAGAAGCTCCTCCTATCTGACTATTCTTACCTTTCTCACACGTCACTTTCGATAAGCTATGATCTCACTTCTTACCTCTCTCATCAATTATGATAATATTTAAGTTTTTCTAAGATTTTTTTAGTTTATATATTTATAATAGACAGAAATATTAACATACGGGGAGAGAGTATTTATATGATTAACAATATTAATTATTTAGGTTATAAAAGAATAGTTTTTGACACCTAAAATATTAAATAGTTTTAAAATATTTAAACATCATTTGATGAATTTTTTATCGTAAAACATTTGATTGATAACGGGAAACCAAATCAACTTGTTAAAGATTAAAATTTTGAAATATTATATAACAAATATTAATTCAAAAATAAGATTAGTCAGTATTAAAAGGCTTAATCCTCGAGGTAAGGTCAATTTCCAATTGTTTGGAATGAGTCTTCGTGCCGTTGGTTTAAAACTTCGTTCGGGAAAGAAAATACATCAAACTAAAATTAAATAAATAAAACATAAGTTAAAAAGACGATTTAAGATTAACGTTGTCAATATTCATGGAGAAAATTAAATCTAATATAATGAATATCTCACTTGAGTTAATTCAAATTCAAATCTTCATTCACTTGCATATCCTTTCACATAAAAGTAACCTAAACATAAACATAAATTCTGAATCACGTAATATTTATTCGTAATATTCTTTTTTTATCTTCACTATATAATTTTCAGTTGTCTTCATTACCAAAATTATTTAAAATTATGAGAGACTTTATAAATCATAGAGAAAAGATGATAAAAAAAAGGAGAAGATGAGACACAAAAATAACTAAAAATTTGTATGTTCGAAAACATCTCTCTACACACGTAGATTCTCTCTCTCCCCCTCTATATTTGATAAAGGATAATTTGAAGCTATTGATGTGGTCTATATATTTGTAAAGAATTATTTGGTTTGGGTGATGGACGTTTCCATATAGTTTTACCTTTTTGGAGCACATGAGCTTCAAAAAACACCTTTGAGGATAAAAGAAACTCGACGAATTTATGAACTCTTGGTTCTCATAATATTTAACTAATGTGAGACTAAATAACTTTATCAATGCTTCCTCCAATAGGGGAGCCAAGGGCTTATAGTCGAGGTGCACGGCCTGGGAGCGGGTTTGCTCGTATAGGCCTCAGGCCCTCCTTCTAGTGTCAATTTGATAAAGCTATTTAGTCCAACATTGGTTGAAGAGTATGTGAACCAAGGGCTCATAAGTTTGTTAAGTCTCCCATACCCTCAAAGGCGCCTTTTGGAGCTCACAAGCTCCGAAAGGCTAAAACTATATGGGTACGCCCATCGTCCAAAGCCGATAATTCATCGCAAGTCTATAGATCGCACTAATAACCAACCGAATGATTAAACGATCCTTTATTAGATTAGTGCTAGAAGGAGGGTTTGAGGCTTGCACCTTGGTCGAACAAACTTATTCCTGAGCCGTATACCACGGTTATGAGCCCTTAG